GCCAGCGCCGTGGATGCCCCAGCCTTGCCTCGCAGCAAAGGTGGCCCATCTGTTCGAGCGAGCCTGGAGGGGGTCCCCCGACTGGTGCCCCCGAACATGTGCCGCACGAGTGGCCTCTCCAAGGCCTCCGTGATCGTCGAGCTCTTGCCAGATGACTTCCCACATGGCCGCGCCTCGGGCCAATACCATGCCTTACTACGCGCGCCATCGGTGTAGATACCCCCTGTGTCTGAGTCCAGGGTGCCGCACATGATGTGCCATCTTCCGCTCTCACCGCGAGGAGGAACAGGTGGCGTGCACGAGCGAAGGGCCGTGCCCGTTGTCCCAAACCAAGAGCCGGCCGAGCGAGGCGGAAGGCCTCGTGCATCTATCGACTGCATGGCCTCCGCCGGTCTCTCCGCCTGTACAGGGCGCTTTTAGGATATGTGATATGTTGTGCAATGTTTTGAGGAACGTGTTGGGTAACATGAGGTGCGTGTATGCTCGTCCTTGTATAGCCTCGACGGTGACCATATCCCATCGCCAACCAGTGCCCGTAGGAGACCTGCTTCAGCCGCAGACAGCTTCAAAGGCCCCCCAGGGTCTGTCTCAGGGTCAACAACGGGGTCGTGCGTTCGGGCCTTCAGGAGTCCAATAATAGGCTCAAGCCAGTGTCCCAGGGGCTCTTTCGGGCATGTCGCCAGCAGGGCTGCGCCCACGATGCCATGCTTCCCACAGGCGGCGGGTGGCGGCAGCGCGCGCGCAATCTCGTGCAACAGGTGATGCGCCAGCAGTCATATCAAGTCGATCACCTGTGTCCGTTCCCATGATAGATGCCAATATCGTGCCCCGGCCTAAGGCTGGGCGGCCATCGACGTAGCTCCAGTTGGGCCAGCGACATGCGCCCATGGATCACGAGGATGCAATACTCGAGAAACTGGCCGCCGCCATGCTCTCTGAAGCGTATCGCAATCCAAGCCACGATCTCGACATGAACGGGCCCGCGGGAATATAGGTTGAACCCGACAGGCCACTCGAGGGTCTTCAGGCATGGTCACTTGGGGGCGAGCCGTGAGCCGAGCCGATGTAGCTAGCGGCCCCAGGGGCATACCAGGTACTACGCATCATACTTCGGATTCTTTCAACAAGCTGGGGAGGGGCACCGTTGACTCCCACCCCGTACTGCATTGCCGAGGGAAGAGCTTGCTTGGCAAAGCGTGCTTCTAAACAACCAGCCTTTGGGACCTTGCGCATCCGTGGGGCCCGTTTCAACGCCTTTCCAATGCGTGCCCTGAGATGCCGATGCCGTATAGGCTTGCCAGCACTTACTTTAATGGCAAGAACCTCCAGTGCCGTAGGGTACTGTAATCCAAGATGCGATGGCCTGCATGCCGCTTGCTTCGCCACCTCGGGCGAATTGCTGGCCAATGTCATCTCGCGCCGAGCGGGGGCGGGGGCGCGGAGACAAGGGGGTTCGCGAATATGGTTAGCAGCGATCAGGCAGCACCAACAAAAGCAGCAACATGGCCAACAATCGCGGTGGTGATGTCGTCAGCATCAATATTCAATGATATCTGCATGTGTCCCGTGTGCACAGACAGCGAGTCGAGCGGGCTAAGCGTGACGCGCTGCAAGCAAATTATCGCGAACGGGCATCCTGGGAGCGCGCCACGGGTCGCCCAGATAGGGGCGGAGCAGCACGCATCCCAGAATGGGCGACGGGCAGCGGCGTGCATTCTCACAGCTAACACCATGAGGGGAGCGGGTAAGTCGTGCGAGACTGCCGGTTCGAGTAGCCGTCTCTACGGCGCGCGATCAACGCGCTTCTCGATATCTATGATGGCGTGAACAGTGCACTTCGGGCCCGCCACCTCTGTCGAGGTAGATTCAGGTTGTGCCGGGAGTCTGGCTGCCGCGTCCGTCGTGTTTTTCTGAGTGCCCAGAGCAAGATGCGGCCTATCTAGAGACTCAGCCCATGAGCGAACCCTGTTGAGACGCGCCTTGCCCCGCGCCCTGGACGCAGATTGTAAGGGCACAACTGGTCGATGCCCCCCCGTGGGTTGAGCCAGAAGCACAACGTGAACATGCTTGATGGCGCAGTGCCATTGGCCCCGCGTCTCAAATAAGCAGAGTTGGCACCCTGTGAGCGCCAGAAAACCATTAGAAGCAAGACCACAGTGCCGCGGCCGAACGGACATCAGCACCCACTGCAGTACCAACGGAGAACTGTCTGGCAGGTTGCCGAAGTTTCCCAATGCTAATGGTAGTAAGCCTCGGACCTCCTATCAACCGCCCCCCGCAGATGCCCGAGGTGATCGCCCCCGAGACTTGCAAGGAGACTGCCGGTGCACGCCGCCAGTGAGGTGTCCTCCCCATTCCGTATGGGGCCCCGGGATGCCTTCTGCGCCGTGTTAATATCATGGGGCATGCTGCTGGGTCCCTCGGTGGTGTCATCTTCGGCCAGCTGCCAGCCCCGCGGCTTGGCCCATCGATGTGCTGGGCCAGACTTGCTGCTGAGTTA